GGCTGTTTGGGAAGAAATAACTAAGTAGTTCAGTCCACTGACACATTGTTTATAATGATTTGTGATGCACTAGCTGCTTAATGTTGGGACGCAAAAGGCCACCATCCTCCTCTCTTGGCTCCTGAATATCAGCTTCTATGCCTAGGTCCTCTGCCAATAAATAATTAGGTTTATATGACATCACGACATTGTAAGGATTAGTGCTTTTACAAGAAGAGAGACATACTGAAGAGTCCTGTCTTTGTACATGCACAAAGAAGTGGTCATGAAAGCACATGATGCAAGCCTGGCAGATGAACCCTTGATCTTGGACTATAAAAAATATGCATTAGGGCCTCTCCTGGTGGCGCAACAGTTGAGCGCTGGGCTGTGAGGCTGCCCACAGCCTCTGCAGCGCCAGTTCATTCCCCGGCTGCCTGCGAGGGTCCCACCAAAAACAAAAACAAAAACAAAACATTATTTAACCACTTAGATTATGGTATTTTGTTACAGCAGCCTGAGCTAAGACATCTACCTTTATAATCATTTCTTTCACTAAATCTAATTTGTAAATTCTCAGAGAGAAATTCACCAGATACTATTTAGTACTAAGTCTGAACTTGAGGAGTAAGAGTTGTTTTCTCTACATCATTGTGATATCATAATGACTTTGAGTGATTCCTGGTGTAATCTTCTGGAACCAAGGACTTATGACTACCTTTTACAAAAATGATGGCACTTAGGTTTCAATAGCTTTATAGTACATTTCCCAGAGCAGGTACTTAAGAGTTTTAAATTTATCACATCCATTTTTTTAAGACTTCTTTTGTTCAACAGAAATAAAAGTACTGCATTACTTTTTGTTAATTATCTACTCTGTATTGCTATTAGTAGTACAGCTTGAATGTGAGTGTACTTTGACTCATCCTCACTGAAAGCACCAGGAATCCACAGTGCGGCATGTCCTGCTGCACTCATGAGCATCTGTTAGCCCGGGAGATTCATATTTCAATACAATTCACAATGTCCATTAGCCATAGAAGTACTCTAAGATAGGGTACAATTGATATTTTAAATCTTGCAGACAAAGTTAGAATTAGAGACTTTTCTGATATAGATCTTGGAATATTCCATGTGTTTTTGCAATGGAGAGAATATCTAGAACTTAGAGTGATTTAAAAAAAAATCCAATAAAATGATACTCAAGAAACAGACTATGTTGTAAAATTTAATTCTACTGCCATTCACTCAGCCAGGAAAATGTGGATTTAATTTAGTGATGTCATAAGGTTGGGAGAAAAATCATTGCCAAGATGAAATTCACATTTGTATAATGAATAGTCCACTCCTTCAAGTGAGTTAATATAGTGATATTTATGGTATGTCTTAGTAGATCAATTTTGATTTAAAATGCAGATAGAAATAAGAAAGGGAACTTTAAATTGTGTATAAGACAATGAGTGGCAGTGAATATGCCCAATTATCTGGATATTTTAGCAAGGCATCTATTATGAGGAAAGGGAGGACTGTCCTTTAGATCCAATCACTCCATTTTATTACCTTCCTCAAGAGGAATTCCAGAGATAATTACTTGACTCTGTACTCAAGAAACTAGCTTTCATAGAAATAGGCAGAAGAGGGTAAAGTTCCTATCCCCACAGTTCCCTCACCTTCAACTGCAGCTTTCCTTTATTATTGCATAAAGGCAGCTGGATATAAGTATTGCAGCCAAGACCTCCTTCCTATATTTGCTGAAAGCACTGAATATATGATATTGTGCATAGAATCTATGATTGAACATATAATGCCAGTGTTTCCTGCCTTATTCTCTTACTTCGTTTGTACCATTGTCCCCATGCTCCTGACCAGCAATGATATTGGTTTTCTGGCTCTCCCTCTAGCAAGTTAAGTACACTCCAGTCTTGCTCTTCTCTAGCACTTGGTATTACCCCTAATAAATATGTACTCCCCTCAGACTTTTGCATGGCCTACTCCTTCATTTCAAATGTTACTTCATCAGAAAGACCTTTGCTAATCCCATCTCCATAGCTCTCTTGCCTTATCTAATTTTTCCCACCAAAGTTTCATCAGTTGGTATTTCACTACATGCTCCTTCTGTCTCTTCCTGCTAGAAAACAAGCTGCATGAGATTAAGAATTCTGTCTGTTTTGTTCGGTGCTGTAATTGCACCACTGGAATATGAGGTTTGGATCTTAAAAGGGCTCCCACCAGAGTGGAGAGGTTTCACTTACTACTCAAGTCAAGTAAAATTAATTACAATATGATTTTACTAGGGAGAATCCACATTACAGCAATATAAGCATACAATTGACAGTAAAAGAGGGAAGGTTACAAACCATTAAGTTTATGTTTGGGAAATGGATGCAAAGTCTGAAACTTGGTTCACACTGCCAGCTTGTCAGGAGGGGAAAATCTGCTTATCTGGGCAGAGCTGTGTTAGGAGATGACAAAATTTGGAGAAGACTTAGATATTCCATAGAAGACTTGGATATCCCATAGACTTGGATATCCCATAGGATATCCCATAGGAGGGAGCACACAGTGTCTTAGATTGGTTTATTTCCTCTTCTATATTTATACCTCTTTCAGAAGTATGTTACCAGGGCCACCTGCTAGTTTTAAATAGGGGTTGGCCTCCAACAAACTAGGTATATCCGTCTTTGTCTTGTGTATCTGTTTATCAATGACAAGTGGTCACTTTTTAATTGATAACTTGAGTTACTGTATCTTAATTGCCCCCACCTCTTGATCAGTCAGTGTTACTTACAATATCAATATCAATAACAATCATCAAGAACAGTGCATAGAATATTTATAATAATTGAATGATTGAAACAGTTAATAACAAATGCATGAGGCATATTGCTTAATTACTGAAATTAGGAAAAATAGTTAATTTTTATTGGGTGCATCAAAGCACTTTATAAATATTAACTCATCTAATTTTGATTCATCAGACAAGTTGGGTAATTTATCCAATGTTACATTGCCTATAAGAAGCAGAGCACAAGATTTAACTAGGGAGTCCTGCTCCAGATAGGTGCTCTTTCCTTCTCTACTGCCAACAATAGTTATGTGAGGAGGTAGGTATAGGAGGAGACCTGGAAGGGAAGGTAATGATGTGGCTGTGTGGCATGGAGCTATCATCATTGGCTGAAATTTCCATAATAAGTTATTCTGTCGCTTCATCAGCATGATGAACAATTAATGAGAATAAATTCACCAGTTTGCTTGCCTGCTCTGGTCTTAGTCCTCTGCAGGTGTACAATCTAAAGAGATATTGCCTTTTGAGGTAGAATAAAGGGATACTCAGAGCTATCAAACAGTTGAAAACACTTCTAACCTTGTAACTTCTAGGTTACTAGAAGAGAGAGAGATAGCTTTAGAGAGGAATGTGTATATAGAAATCGAGCCACATATTCATCTTCCAATTCACTATGCCAGATAGTCTGTTGGTTAATGTAACTAACTCATCAACAGATTTAAAAAAATCACATGATCATACCAATGAACACAGAAAAGTTGCTTGATAAAATCTAACACCCATTCATTATTAAAACCCTCAGTATACCTGAAATAGAGGGGAACTTCATCAACTTGATAAGGAATTTTATTAACCAACTGTTAGCATCATACTTAATGTTTAGAAACTTGAAACTTTCATGCTGAGATCAAGTACATGGCAAGGATGTACTTACCACTTTTTTAATTGTTGTACTTTAAGTTCTAGCTAATACAATGAGACAGTGAAAGATATATAAATTGGGGGGAATAAATAAAATTTTCTTTGTTCACAGCTTACATGATCATCTATGTAGAAAATGAAAAAAATTATAAAAACCCCTAGAACTCATAAGCAATTATAAAAACATTTATTAGTTTCATAAATATCAATAATGAACAAGTAGAACTTGAGATAAAAAATACATATGAAGTACTTAGGAATAAATCTTACAAATATGGTCAAAATCTACCTGAGGAAAACTATAAAACTTTGATGAATAAAATTGAATAACAATTAAATAAATGGAGAGGTATTCCATGTTCATAGATGTAAAGACTCAAGATATCCATTCTTCTCAACTTGATCTACAGATTCAGTGCAGTGTCAATCAAAATCCCAGAAAGTCATTTTTTGGCCACATAATTAATGAGTCTAAAGTTTATCTGTAGAGGCAAAAGAGCCAGAATCATGAGCACAATATTGAAGGAGAAAAAACAAAATTGGAGGATTAACACTGCCTAATTTCAAGGTTTAACAGAAATCCCAAGGAGTCAAGATAGAGTGACATTAGTGAAAGAATAGTCAAACAGATCAATGGCACAGAGTAGACAGCCTGAATATAGACTCCACACTGAACTTTGGCAAAAGAGCAAAGACAGTATGTTGGGGAAAGTCAGTCTTTTTAACAAACGGCAATGGAAAAAACTGAACATATACATGCAGAAATATAAATCTAGACTCATATCTTAATACCCTTCACAAAATTTAACTCAAAATGGATCACAGGCCTCATTGTGAAATGCAAAACTATGAAATTCCTAGAAGATAGCACAGGAGAAAACCTATAAATAGAACATTGTAAAGAGAATAAGACAAGTCACAGACCAAGAGAAAATATATGCAAAAACACATCCAATATAGAACTTTTATCCAAAATATACAAAGAACTCTTAAATCTCAACAATAAGCAAAAAAAAAAAAAACCTTAAAAATAGGTTAAAGACATTAATAGACACCATCCAAGACTATATACAGTGGCTATAAGCAAGTGAAAAGATTTTCCACATCATGTTATTAGGGAAATATAAGTTAAAACAACAATGAAATACAACTCTATGCCCATTAAAATGGTCAAAATCCAACAGTGAACACTAAATGCTGGTGTGGTTGTGGAGTAAGTGGAACTCTTCTTCATAGCTGGCAGAAATGAAAAGTGGTACTACCAACCACTTTAAAACACATTTTGGTGACTTTTTGAAACTAAACATATACTTACCCTATAATCCAGCAATCTTGCACCTTTGTATTTACCCAAATGAGTTGAAGTTGTGCATATGGATGTTAATAGCAGCTTGATTTCTAATTCGTGAAACTTGGAAGTGATGAAGATAGCCTTCAATGGGTGAATGGATAAATTGTTTCATACAGAAAATGGAATATTATTCATCACCACAAACAAATGAACTATCAAGCTATAGAAACACATGGACAAAACTTGTAATTATTACTAAATGGAAAAAACAATCTGAAGAGGCTACATATCATCCCAAATACATGACATTCTGGAATAAACAAAACCTATGGCAACCATAAAAAGATCTGTGGTTGCTGGGGTGACCTGGGCCAAAAGAGTTGAATAGGCAAAACACAGGATTTTTAAAACTGAAAATTCTCTTATAATAGTGATGGATATATATCATTATACTTTTGTCCAAACATGTATCGATGTATCGATGCTGGTTCATCAATTGTAATAACTGTGCAACCCTGGTGAGGAATGTTGAAAATGACATATGCTGTACTTCTGTGGGGATATATAGGTGTCTCTGTATACAGAAATGTTGATAAATAGAATCAGTTATTGAGCACCTATCTTGTGCAAGTAACCATGGTACTAATTTCAGTCAAAAGAAAAAGTAAGACCTCATCTATCCTACAATCATCTAAGCTGAGTATGATGAACACTACAATGATTAAGATTCAAAAACTGACCAAATATTTAGTGCTCTTGCCCATTTTAACTAATTTATTTATTAGGGAAAGGGATTTTATGCCAGTAGCTTAGTCAGTTATCCTAACATGTAAATAGGTGTTTATATTTAAGATAATTTTATAGTTACTGGAGGATTAATGACTGAATAAAAAGAAAACCGTCCAGGGGAAATATTTCTGCTTAGGATGAAGGAAACCGAATTCTCTGTGACGACTGATAGCGTACTTTGAAAGAGAACTCTTACAAATATGAAATCAAATCACCTTCTGATGGCTTTAATTGAACAAAATTAAACCAGAAAAGAAAAGGAAATGTTATTCCAAAACATTATAATGCTTGCAAAACATAAACTTTATGTGGGAGTTATCTAGTGATAGAAATAATTGGAAATTAGAAGTTCTAGAAAATAAAATACATATGAAATGAGCAAGAAAACCCCCTTTTTATATTTTGTAGTATAAACTTACATAATGGACATTCATTATTTTTCACAAGGGTCAATGTATAGCTACTACATGTAGTCTTAGAGGTGCATTGTTATTTTTTTTTAAATTGAGCAACTATTAAAAATTGCCTTTGATTCTAAATACCAAGTTATCCAACACAGGAGAAATATAAAATTTTCCTCAGCTCAATGGTTCAAGAAAATAGGAGGACTTAGGGAGTTTTTATTGGAAGAGAATAAATAGAGCTAGGCATATTTGAAGGGCAATCCCATGGAAGGAAAAATATACTTATTTTTGTTGCTTCAAAAAGCAGTACTGGCACTAAACTAAAGGACACACAAGCTTTCCTTCAACTTAAGAAAGGACAGTGGGACAACTGAGGTGGTAGAAAAAAATGGAAAGGGCTGACTGTTAGCATGTATGAAAGCTCTGTTGCTTGAAATCATCAAGCAGATGCTAAATAACTATGCAGTGAAGACTATATTATGTTAAGAGATTCAGCAAAATGATCTCATGACTTCTAAAAGGACTCCCCACCATACTTTTTGGCACAGTCGATATTAAAACTGAAAGAATATCTTGATGGGTCTGACCTAGTCACATGAACCTTTAAAATTAAAGAGATTTATCTTGTCGAAGACAGAAGAAGAAGACATGGAAGAATTCTTGCTATTGCTGCTTTCATAGATGGAATGTTCTCTAAAATGGGATGCATGCAGAACTGAGAGCAGTGAATAACCTGGTTGATAGCCAACAAGGAAAGAGGTCCTCAGATCAACAGCCATGAGGAACTGAATTCAGTCAACTCCACAAGTTTGGAAGTGGATTCTTCCTCAGATACTACAGATAACAGGATCATCCAGTCAACGTTATGTCTTTTGACTTGTGAGAATCTGCACAGAAAGCTTAGCCTCGTTTGTCCGGACTTATAGAACCATGAGACAATAAGTGGGTTGTCATTAATTTGTGTTAATTTATGATGTAAACTAATACAATAATCTATGCTGAATAACCCTTTCAAATCTAAAATTTAGTAATTTTATCCCTTACAAAATAACAAAACAAAAATTATATAATGTAATCATGTGTTTTTATGCCCTAGTCTATTCCAAAAGGAAAGATATTTCATGAGAAGGTTATTGACATGCAGTATATAAATTCCATGAGATTTAAAAAAAAAACAGGAATGATTAGGAAAACAATAATGTTGAACATGATAGTAGATGCTTCTACAACTAATAATTTTTAAGTGTTTGTAGTGATATTTGTTGTACTTGAAAGTGCGTAAATTCACGTTGAAAACTTAATCCTCAAAGTGATGGTATTAGGATGTTGGGACTTGGGGAAGTGAGACCCCAGAGCCATCTTTTGTCCCTTCCATCATAAGAGGACACAGAAAGAAGGTACCAGCTCTGAACCAGGAAGATTGCTTTTATCAGTTAGTGACTGTGCTATCACCCTTCAGCCTCCAGAACTGTGAGAAATATGTTTTTGTTCCTCTAAGCCTCCCCATCAGTGGTATCATGTTACAGGAACCTGAAAAGACTAAGTCTCTTCTATTCACCAGTGATCTATAAATAAAACCCTGAGGTGAACTTGAATTGATACATGTATCACTTGCTGAATTAGTTTTTCCAGTCCAACCACTTGGGCACCTTAGGTATCAATGGGATCTATTAGAGTTCCAAGGAATAGATGCAAACTGTTAATCGGAATGATGGAGGTTTACTTCAGGGGAATTACCATCTAGGACACTGTCACGTTAGAAACCCTTTTTCCAACTCTGGGATGGGTTCTGGGTTTCCAAAGAAATGAGAAAGATGCTGTTCACTGAGGAAGACAAATAGCACAAACTTAGTAACCTGCTAAGTGCTGTTTACTCAGCAATCATGCCTCCTAGATAGGGGAGTATAAGTTGACTGCTTTGCCATCTTTCATGACTATGGAGCTTCTGTTTGAATATCTATGAACTTTCTATCTTATCTCCATAGTATCTCACTAGGTTAGGTCACCTTGTTACATTTGGTGGCATGGCACTAAGACTTCTTATAGCACTTGTGAAAAATCAATTGTGTGATTTAGCTACTTGGTTTTTCTCCTCTTCTTAGAGTGGACTCCATGTGAAAATTAGATGAGGTCTGTAATGTTTTCTCTTTTATCTTTCATATTTAGTGAACACAATGCATATATTATGTGCTCAATAATGTTTTGAATAGCTAAATAGATTAGTTCAATTTTCAAAAGCTGCATCGCTAGGGTCATAGCTGGCATCACTGCTAAAATGATTGGTAGCAAGATAAGGAGGAAAATATAATAGCTATTGAGTTTTCATGGATTAATTCAGGATTTTTCAAACTGAACTATATTTTTTGGATCTACTTGTTTTAACTAAATCATATGTTTTCATTTTGAAGATGAATAAATTACTGAGCATATTCTGGATAATAGGGTGACATCTGATCACAGAATTATCACGTGATTTCGCTGCCCACAGGTGTTTAAGATTTTGCTGGTGCCACATAGTTCCACATTTTGGGGTAGAGAAACAGCTATACTTAATATTTCATTGACATGTTAGAGCTAGGTAAGGGTCAACAAAAGTTTTGGCTCACTCTAAGGTCTAAACTTTTCTTGCATTCAAATGAAGAAAAGTAGGAAAGTTGAGGAAACACATAATGCCAGAAGCAGGTTGAGTCCAGGAGAGCACATGTTATCATTGTCAGCACCATATTTGCATGAACAGTTGAGTTTTAGTCAAACCCAATCTATAATTGTGTTAATCTTTTGCTGAAAATTTAAATCTTCCTTATTTTATAATTTTGATTAAAAAATATTTAAGAGCTTTTTAATCAAAGAAGTATTGCCTGAGGGACTCAATTTAACAATTTGATTTATTTCCTATTGTATTAATATATTAAAGTAATATGTCTCTATTGGGCTTCTAGAAAATTCTTTTCCTGTGCAGAACTTACTGAAGTTTGAGGTTCAGTTAGTGTGTTAAGTTCACAGAATCACTGTGCTAGAGGCAGTTTAAATCATCTAGAAGCCATTATTAAATTAAATCAATTTCCAACAAAATATTTATTTGGAAATTAAAAAATTAAGTTTCAGAGCATAGACATTCACAATATTTTCTGGTTAAGGAGTTTTATAATAGCTTCATGACATTTTTTTTCAAATCATGTTTATTTTTTCCAAATTAAGAAGAAAACCATTATATTTCCATTTGAGATGTCAGGAGGAAAAAAAAAGATTTTGTTTAGCTATACTTGGAAAAGATACTCCTAGTGATCTTTGTAGCCAACTGCCAGCAAGACAGACTGCCTGCCAAGTATAGCTATTGAGATTTAACACTGATTTTGGACCCAAGGAAGCTTTTTAGTGCAGTCATATTGAAGAGAAAGAAATCAGAGGATTTGTAGTTGAATTTGACGATAGGCAGCATGGTAAGATCTCTGAACTCTCACACCCCTCACAAGCAGGCTCATTTAGGGGACTGTTGTTAAACGATTTAGATAAATCATATGAAATTATGTTTTGGGAACTCAGAATTTCTTTTAAAGTCTATGAATAAAATTTACACAAAATATAGCTTAGAATTGAGAGTATCAATCCTGATCACTGTTAAGGTTTTAGAAATGGAACCAGTAATCTGACTCCATGATTGTAAGGAACTTAGTATTGATTCCTGTGAAAAGAAACAAAGACCCTATCATGACCTACCAGTTAGTATTGATCTGTTTCTCCACTAACTACCTATTTTTCAAGTGCTTGAGAAAAGCGTGATTTGAAGGGACTGTAACTGTATTTTGCTGTTTGCCCTATTTGATACCAAAGGAAAAAAGAAAAACATAAAAAAAAACCTGATAAGTTCAAGTTTAAAACAGGGAGTAAAAAGTAAATGACAAATTTGGTCATTCTGCAAAGAGGTCTCAGCTTTAGAAAGATAATATACATCCTAACAGCTTTTACATACTTATTATAATGAAAAATCACAATCTATAGATAGTCTTTCCAACAGTTATAAGGGAAAGAAAAGTGGTAGTTCGACAACAATAGAAAGGTGATACATTTATTATTTTTTGATACTTGACTTTGGGGAAATATTTCAAATTCAAACGCTAATCCATCTGACTGTATCTG